CGCTCTCGTGGCCTAGAGGTTAAGTAGTTCGCCTCTCATTCAATAGGTCTCGGGTTCGAATCGGGTAGCGACGGAAATTTTTCTTCTCAAAAACTGTCTCATTTCACCCCCTTTCCTGCTCTCCAGCAATTTCTGTTGTCTGCTTTCGTCTCCACTTTCAGCCCCCACTCCCCTCACCTCCTTTGCCCCCTGTTCTGAGCTCCGGACTCTTTCTGCAGCCGTTCTACTGCTACTCCTTGGCTCTTTCTTACTGCTGTCTTTCTGCCACACGCCTGATCTTATGGTAAGAAAGATCTACACCTGACCTTCTCGGACAAGGGCGAAAAATCTCGGAGGTTCCGTGTGCAAGTTATGCACGTTAAAGATCCCTTAGTGGTTCAAAAATCGACAAGAGTAGGCTTCGTCCGCCACCCGGGCAAAATTCAAAATTTCCTACCTACTGACAATGTTTAATGTGTCCCGCGCGCTCTTATGACCTTATGAAGTTGCGAGCGCCGTAAAACACGCAACAAAAAACAACAACAACAACAATAAAACAACACAAAAATAACTACTAACCCCCCCCCAAAAAAAAAAAAAAACAACAACAACAACAACAACAACAACAACAACAACAACAAACAAACAAACCAAAACAACGATCGAGCGTCTCCTTTGTTTCCAACTTCAGCCCTATCTATCGGTGTGTAAAACAGAATCAGCCATTGCCATCTCTCCCGGGTCCAGCGCATATAACAACGATTCCAGGAAAAGGGCAACATGCAGTGGTCAATTATAATTCATTTTACACCTCCAGCTTCTCAGGACAGTTTCCGCTTGCCACTCGAGCACTTTTATAAGCAGCGCTATTTATTTCACACCCACGACTACCACGAACAACTGCACCGATCTGGACTCACATGGATCGGTAACAGCTAGATCTACCTTGAAACCGCACCCTTCCTCTCCACCCCCCCCCCCCCCCCCCCCCCCCAACACCTCTCTTGCGGCTTAGCGTAATGGTTAAAGCCGATGAAAACAAAATTGAGAGATTGTTTTCATATGCGTTTATGTAAAACGCCCAGAGCTGTGTTCACACGAGAGTGGGCGCTATAGAAATGATCTACATTATTATTATTATTATTATTATTATTATTATTATTATTATTAATATTATTATTATTATTATTGTGGGGATTCACGCTCAGATATCTACATGATGGGTCTAAAGCGGCCCATGCAAGACAGGTTAAAAAAAAAAAAGCCGTACGTCTACAGGCTCTATTGATACATATACAATCTCGCTTCTGATCCTAACTTCTTTTCAATTTGAATTTACCAAAAGTTTAGCTAGTGCTGTATTATTATATGGTCGCTTCTAAGCTCAGGTTGTCCCGAAAAATGCTGTTTGAGAAAATCGAAGGTAAAGTTTTTGCCCCTTGTTCAGTTTCTTTAAAAGACAAGGAGGGTTTTCCCTGAAACCAAAAAAATACACGTATACACATTAATGAAACCACCTTCTCCTACAGGTAGGGAGGGGAATGCCAACTTTTGGAATGGGTCATGATTTCTGGAAACCCCCGAAATTTGGGTTAGCCCTCTTGTTCTTAAAAGCGACCATAGGTAATTGGTTGTTACCCCCCTCCCCCAAAAAATTTTTTTAAAAAATAAAATTAAATTGCGTGTGCATGGCAGTCGCGCAAGACAGATCTAGATCTAGATGAGGATGATCAAGACTTGCCAAAATCTGTCTCTAATCTCTACCAGTCTATCACTAATAAGTTTACCGTTGGTCAAGATAGCCATCGGTTGTATCCCCTTATACCGCTAGCCCCGTTGTACCACCATCTTCATAATGCTCGTCCCAAAGTAGGCGGTACAACGAGGCTTGAGACGAGTGTCAGATTTTCTTGAGTGTTGGCCCATATCATGCGAACTTCAATCATTGTCTGTGATGTACTCGCATGATATCATTTTATTACCCCCTCCCCCCAAAAAAAAATCCCCTGCCCCCCCCCCACACACACTCTAGAGCTGTCTCTTTCTCTCTCTCCCACCCCCCTTCTCTCTCTCTCTCTCTCTCTCTCTCTCTCTCTCTCTCTCTCTCTCTCTCTCTCTCTCTCTCTCTCTCTCTCTCTCTCTGAGAGGTGGGGGATGCAATCAGGATATGAAACACAAGACGAACCGCTAAATAAGAACTGTGTGATGATTTATTCTCTCTTTTGATCCTTCCACACCACTGGCCGCTCTTGTGGTCTAGGCCTAGAGGTACGGGACGTTTCGCTTCCCATTCAACAGGTCCCGGCGTTCGAAACCTGATAGCGTCCGAAGTACAATGTATTTTCTTCTCTAACATTTTGCCTTTCACTCCCTTTCCTTTTCTCTAATTATGTTCTGTCGTCTGCTATAATTTCACCTCTACTTTATAGCCCTCCGGGCTCCTCATGACTCTTTCTGTTGCCTTTCTACTGCACTCCTTGGCTCCTCTTACTGTTGTCTTTCAGCCACATCCCTGATCTTAGGATAAGCAAGATCTAACACCAGGCCTTCTTGGATAGGGGCGAAAGAATCTCCAGTGTGCTTAAGTTGCGCACGTTAAAGGTCCTTTAGTGGTCCTAAAAATCAATAAGTAAGCTTCGGCCGCAACCCGAGCAAAATTCAAAATTAATCCCTACCAAACTGAAAATGCTTAATGTGTTCCGCGCGCTCATATGACCAAACCAAGGAGTTTAGAACTATTGGAGCCTCCTCTCTCTCTTCGCGGCGCCACGAGCAGTACGACGCGGTGGGGATCAAATATGGCGATCGAGTGTGGGCTAATTCACGAACTGTGGCGTTTCTTTTTATAGAATCTTATCGGGCTGGGCCACGTTGTGGGGGTGGGCAGGGTGGGGGGGAATACACGCAAGGAAGAGGGGATCGGGCTGGGATGAAAGAGGAGGGGCGGGCCTTGGGAAGGGACGAAGGAGAATGGGAAACATTGAATAAAAGAGAGAGAGAGAGAGAGAGAGAGAGAGAGAGAGAGAGAGAGAGAGAGAGAGAGAGAGAGAGAGAGAGAGAGATAGTGAGTGAGACAGACAGACAGACAGACAGACAGACAGACAGACAGACAGACAGACAGACAGA